TGGAAAAGTGTGCACACCTTTTATACACACTACACGGAATCAATAATATTACAGTGAAGCAGATTTCTTGAATGCAACACAAGAACATTGCAGTGTAACTGTTTGTTATTGGCTTTTTAAAATAATTTATATTGGGTAAATTCATTACAGCTAAAATATTACAGTATGTTTCAACAGTCTTCAGTATTTTCAAAGTCTTCCGGTTCAAATGTTCCTTTAGAAATTGTGATACACTACCATTTAAATGTTTGGGGTAAGTTTAAAATAATAATAATAAATCAAAAAATGACAGTAAAGATATTTATAATGATAAATAGGCAACCACTGTATTTACCTAAATTGTGTGAAACAGGTGTTGAAAGTAGGTGAGTGTATGTGCTGGTCATATCATGGCAATGGAAAAGAACACGCCTGTCTGTCAGCAGCAGAGCCAAAACTTACTACTAATACAAAAGTGCCATCATTGTCTATGACTGCAGACAAGACACACCTCTAGAAATGTGTCAATAAAGATGAAACATCACCTAGCCACACCTGTATATTAATAATCACTAATTATGAGTCATTTGTTAGAGATACATGACAAGCATATTTTAACAGGCTTAGATCAGCCACAATCTAAATAACTGACTGTAAAATGGGACAGTAGCACTCTTACTGTAAATTAGCCCTGTGCTCTTTTAAGCTTCCAAAATTGCCAACTCAGCCCCTGGAGGAAATGACATCATTGTTTACAGCTCTACAGCAGATGGAGGAATGAGAGTGGCCCCTCCTTTAGCCACGAGAGCAACCAGTGTGCCACACTGATGATTCAAAAAAGCATTGAGTAACAGTCTATTTTGCTCTCTCCCTTAGCGCAGCCCAGTGTGTAAAGATCCCAGAGTACTCCTGCTCTCACTACATCACTGCTTGAAACGGCCTTGTCAGCAAACTCCTGAATGTAGCCATTCCTTCTTCACATTACATAAAAGTAATTGCATTTATGAGACATACTGTATTAAGTGGAGTTACTCTAGAACAGGGGGCATCAAAATAATAACCATAACAAGGGACCATATTCCTAAAATATGAAGCCATATATAAAGAAAAAAGATATATAAAGAAAAAAAAGATACTATAAGACATAAATGACATAACTGACTTTTACCTTACCTTAGTCATAGCACTGACATAATAAATGATGTATGGAAGTATGGAAAATATACTTGTAAAATATTTACTTGCATTAAGTTCACATTGTACTGTATCTTTTTTTAACCCACAGATATGGTGTCAACGTTTTATACAAAGATTCATAAA